TTTGTGGCTCATTATGAAACAAATGACATGTCATCCTAATGGGAGTTTTCTCATTAACTCTCAAATGTGAACAGCTTCATAAGACCCCCCATAACTCATCGGCTTATGAGGTGCCAGCTAATAATAAAGGCACCACCATAAAGCAAAGCAACACACGAAGCTGCACTTGGGAGGAAATGTTTTTACAGACTCCTGTGGGATGGACCCACCTTAATTGTAAAATTTCACTTTCAAACAGCACTCTTTCAGCGTGGTTTCTTGATGTGGTTTCCTTTTCAAAATCGCAGAGATCTTATTACTGTTGGTTTGTATGTGTGTTGTCCTTGTGAATATGGGAATTCTGGTGGGCACGCTCCTCTGACCAATCATTGCAGAGGGGCGAATGCGCTCCACCAACAGACAGTAAAGCCTATGATGTACAGAGAAGCGGACATAGCTGCCCAATTTAAGGGTAAGCTAGACATTGCCACAGCTACAGATGCCGCAGGAAGTCTACTAAAGCGTCCTGAACAATCAACCCCAGTCCCGCTCCTGAAGTTGGTCCTCAGGTCCTGCTCAGGCAAAATTCCCACTGTTTCAGGAATGAATCCACAATATTCTCATCTTTTTCCGAAACACTGGACAGAGAACTTGGATAACAGAACTGGCTTGAGCATGGGGCAGGAGGATGGCAGAGCATAATTAATGTTCCACTCTGAATAGTCGCTGCCCTCCTCTTTGCCATGCTCTGAATTGTGAACCACCACTCGGGCACTCACTGAATGTGTTTCCAAGCATGCGTTTGCAATAGAGCATGAAGCATCACATTATAAATTATTAGTATTTTTTAACATCTAACTGCAGGTTAGGCAATAGAATACATTCACCAGGTGGGGCCCCAGAGTGCAAAGTGCTGTAAAAACACACAATTTAGGACAGTCCCTGCACCAATGAGCCTACCATTCTAAAGACAAGACATAACACATGGAAGAGATTAAGAAGCAAGCCAGGATACAGGTGGGGGAGGCAGATGGTCAAAGGCTGAAAGCAGGCTGGGAGTTAGTCGAGCCAGGTAGTTCCGAAATGTCTATGGTCCCATTGTAAAAAAAGGGAGCATTTGTCGTCGTCTCAACTCAGTGGCTGATTCAGAGAACAAGGAGTTCTGAGGGGGTGGAAAGAACTGGCACATCATTCACGGGAAAGGAACTTTCCTTCTTTTTCTTTTTTTTTGTAACTCAGTATTTGTAATTTCTAAGAAAGTCATCAGACAAACTTCTCCACTGCTCGGATACAAAGTAAAACTAGATTTTCGACTCATTGTTATAAAGTAACGTAAAACATGTCGTATAGGAGAAAACAAACTCTAGCTTCGTTACATTTTCTGAAGCAACACTGCATTTGCAAGCCACAGGGTCCTGGAGAGAGGACACTGGACTGGCAGTCAGAGGACGACCTCAGCTCTAGTCCTGTGAGAGTCACTGTTCTGCCCTCTGACCTGGGGCAAGTCAATTAACCTCTGTCTCCCCCTCCACGCCTTTGCTGTCCTGTCTACTTAGTATGTAAGCTCTCTGGGGCAGGGTCTGTCTCTTCTGTGTACGATGGGTCCGACCTTGTTATATATTATTTGTCTGACAGTGTAACCAACAACAGAGAATGCTTTATGATATTTTTAAGTATAGGTCAAAGGACTATATGACTGTCATCAAGATAGCATTTGTTTCTTGATAGATTTCTTGCAAGGTCCACGTTAGGTTTAGAATTCCTTATAAATTCAACTTAGTTCCACTGATGATATCCTGTCTCACTCAACCAAGATATTTGTTATTAGAGAATGTGCTCCAATATACATCAGTGGAACAGAGTCAGAGAAAGCCCCGTCAGGACAGGTTGGGTGAACGGGGCTGCAACAGAAGTGCCATCAGAAGACTTGATATGTTAGCAGCAAGGCTGATGATCTTCCAAGAAGACACGCACAATATAAAAGCCATCCTATTTCCATATCCTAGAAAGCTAAGTTCAGACAAGTGCTTGAAAAGATTCACTTATTTTTTACTTGTATAAAAATGCTGCATACCTTTATTTGTGAAATACACACACAGGAAAGGATATTGTATACGGGCCTACTTCCCTTGAACAAAGTCTTTGAAGTGTGATCAGCAACTGTAGGAAAGCATTCGCTCAAAATGGGGTATTTAATTTGCCTTTGCTATTGTTCTGGAAATCTGAGGCGGTTTAAATTGGTACTGCCCTGACTTATATTGAACTAGTTGAATAAACAGAAAAGAAGAAAATATTCTTTCTGCATGTGCATTAGAGGCTACTGGTGTCAAAATCTGGTTTAGCACTTCACCAAACATGGCTAGAGGTGTTTAGCCAGTGACTGCCACCAGTTCAAGGATTTAACTGTCTTTAAAACTTCAGCAGCAAACAGGTACTGCTTAATGTTATTCTTTTCCTTTAATGTAAATGGTTTTAGTATATTTTAGTAAATTTAAATCTAATGTAGGTTGTCACAATTTCAAATTTAATTTTCAAATTTTTTAAACATAAATCAGTATTTAAATTTTTAAAAAATCTGATTAAAAACATTAAAAAGACCGATTTTTATCCACCATATAAGGCAAGGTTAAACTCAGATAATGACTTCACCTGAAACAGGGGAACATGTCCAAGAATCAATGTTCCAAAGACAATTAACTGCTATACGAGCTATAAAACACATCAAATGAACACAGATTATTTCACTTATACTTGCAAGATAAAATTTAATAACTACATTTAATGGGCACTTAAAAAAACAATTTCCTATGTATTAATTAAATGCACTTCTTCAGCAAAAAAGAGATTTTTAAAGTGTTATATAATCCCTACTAATCTAACAACAAGCAATTTGAAGACAAAATATTAGTGTGTGTGTTATCTGTAGATCAGTTTAAAAAAATTCCGCACACAAGATTATCATCAGCACAATTACATGTCACACATGAGCAAGCAACAGCGTGTTGCAAAGATGAATGTCTTCAGCTAAGCGTTATTTAGACATATGGTGTCATTTCTACTAGAGCTACAGAGCAAGTGGAGCAATGTTCAGGACTTGGGGCTGGCTACAGTTGTAACCTGCGTGCTGTAGCTTCAGTTCCATGGGGAACGGAGGTATGAGAAAGACAATTCCCTGATTCTGCAGTAGTTTTTTTCCAGAAATGCACAAATCCAGCCAACAGCTGCTTTGGGTTATGGGAGGAACCAAAGGTGAGGGCCTTGCAGTCTGACTTGTTTCTCACCTGTTCATTCCTTTGCTTCTACAGCAGTCTCACAGGGGTATTGTAATCCCTTATCTGGCGAGCCTTTCACTGCTGCTCAGGGAATGTAGACAGTGGTATAAGGAGGGGTACAGGAAGGAAAGATGGTATAGTGATTAGAGTGAGAGCCTAGGACTAAGGAGACCCAGGCTCAAATCCCTTCTCTGTCACTAATGTCCGGTGTGACCTCAGACAAACTTCTGGGCCTCAGTTTCCCATCTCTAAAAGGGAGACAACAGCACTTCTCTACCTCCCAGGGATGTTGCTAGGTTATGTTAAAGATTGTGAGGCACTACGGTATGGGGGGGGACATATAAGTGCCTAAGATGGATTGGATGTAAAATAGCAGCACTGCCAATTCTCATGATTTTAGCACAAGTCTCACAATAGTTGGGGTTTTCCTTAAAGCTCCAGACCCCAGATTCATGTGATTCCAGGTGAATCTCTGCTTTCGTTATCAAACAAAGTTTCCAGCTCTCGTGACTGCAGAGAAAAGTTTGAAAAGGTGACCCAAGTGCAGTCTAAACGCTCAGAAGCCTGAAGACAAATAAAAAGCACCCCCAGATGATCCTTTTGAAAAATCTCCTATTATTTTGGGACCTGACTCATGATTTTGGAATGCTTGAGGTTGGCAATACTGAAATGGGAACACGCAGTTCCTAGGGCAAATGCAGAATAAATCTGCAGCGGGGAAACCCTTGTTTAGGAAAGGTTTTACTCCTATGCAGCAGACCCTGTGAAGTTCCGCCAATTCTGCACCAGCGTCATACTCAAGTCATAGCATGCAAAATGATTCACTCCTGGCAACCTCTTGTTGGCATTGCAAAATTCTACTTGCGCACATGGCCGGGGTGAATAATTTTTTTGGACAGGCACCATTAACATGATGATAATGGGCAAGTGGATAGCTCTTGTGCATGGGCTGGTAAATTGTCATAACAAACCACAAGGCCATTGGGGGGAAGGATAGCTCAGTGGTTTGAGCAGTGGCCTCCTAAACCCAGGGTTATGAGTTCAATCCTTGAGGGGGCCACTTAGGGATCTAGGGCAAAATCAGTACTTGGTCCTGCTAGTGAAGACAGGGGGCTGGACTCAATGACCCTTCAGGGTCCCTTCCAGATCTATGAAATAGGTATATCTCCATATATTAATGCTAGTGCATAGATCCTGGATCAGAGCCAGAAAGGCAACAGCCAGTGTGTTATAACACTTTGCTAGGGTTGCAGGTTATTTGTCTGTTTTCTTTCCTTAATAATTCTGATTTGTTGAAGCTGCATGAAAATCAGATACTGGTCCGCAAAGCGCTGGCGATAGATCACCGCCCGTCTTCCGGCGCCTTGAGCTTTCCCAGAGCAGGGCAGCCAGCAAAATACACACACAAAAGATTTACACGCTTTCACTTACAAATATAAACGAGAAATGTGCAATAAAACAAACTGATTTGATCTTCCAGGCTACAGCTGTGTAAAATATTTCCCTTTAGGACTGAAAGAGTTCCCTTGATTGCAAAATACTCCGCCTTTAGCCTTCATCTCCAGACAATGTACTCATAAGTTTAGCAAAAAGCGACAAAGAGTCCTGTGGCATCTTATAGACTAACAGATGTATTGGAGCATAAGCTTTCGTGGGTGAATACCCACTTCGTCAGACGCATGTTTAGCAGTGCCTTTTGTCATACGACCAGGCACTATTTAGACAGATTAAAAAGCTCGCAATACTTACAATTTAATGGCAGGAATTTCCATGGGAGTTTGTTTGTAAACAGTGTAGACTCCGGCAGAGTACGTGGAGCACTGCATTTGATGATATCAGTACAGACGCTTGAGGAACCAGAGAACAACGTATCATTGAATGGCAGTGCAGAGAACTACAAAATAAATGTGTAGCCATGCCCTGGCATTGGCTGTTCATATTGGTCTTGGGACTTAGCCCTGTTGTTATAATTCAGCCTCACCATGCATTGGTGTAACAACATCACAGCATCACAAACAATGTCACACTAGGACTGGGGCAATTCCATTCCGCCCATTAATTTCTCTCATTCTTTTCTCCCTACCCCGGGCCCTGGGAGTGAAGGGATTCACTTTCATTTCCCTCTCCAATCCTTCCTCTTTCTCGCTGCACTGAAGGTAGAAGAGGAGCTTCCCGCAGCTCTGAACCAGTCACTGTCTTATGATCTCTTGTGATCTGTATTTCTATTGCCAGGCCAATGGTCAAGTCCAGTAAGCAAACTATGATACAGACTATAGCGTGGGCACAGATGGTTTGAAATCATGCTAGTCTTGTAGTCATATTTCTGTACTGCAGCCATTCCAAAACTGAATGTAATCTGTATGCAAATGTTACAAATGGAACTCCAGTGAGGTATCTGAATTAAATTTCACTATTTACAGAACAAGTGGTATTAGTCTGATCACACCAAAAGAATTAATGTAAGAGAACGCCACATTTTCTTGGAGGCTTTACAAATATATGAAAATCTAACTTCTATTTGGATTTTTCAACACTCCTACATTAAGCTTGAACACCGTATTGCTACTGTACCGTGTGGAGGAAGTCTCTCTCTTATTCAGATATTAATGAGAATAAAACACATGTACTTTTTATCACTTTATCGTTTGATACAAATCCATGCAGACCGAGGAACTAAGGTTTTGCATTCACACTTCCAAAGCTTTTTAAATATCTTTCCAATTGATGATCCAAAAATATAAATAAATAAACCCAGTTTCCTTGGATTAAACAAAGGGAGATGGGTTGTCATAGATCGTGTTATTCTAAGTGTTTCCCTACACCTGCGACTTGGGATTGTTTGCTCTATGCCATGTGAGTTTCTGCTCTGTGACATCAGAATCTGCACACAACAAAGACATGAGCCGATTATCATGTAACAAACCAATATAGTAAATTTCATCCTAGGCCAACAATGTTGAAATACAGGTGACAAAGAAGAGAATGGCTTTTGGAGTATGATCTCTCTTTTCTTTGTTTTTTACGTTTGTTTGGCTTTTATTTTATTTTATTTTATTTTTATTTTTTTGGTCTCTGACCTTCTAATCATCAGCTATTAGTGGTTTTCAAAATCCAGGTGCCTATCAACAAGGCTACTTTACAAACCACCGTACACAGGCATAAATGAGTCGATTATTCAATAAAGGCACTTGACACGTTCTTCATCCAGACAGTGACTTTAAAAGCACTGTAACCTTGCAAAGTATTCTCCAAATCAAGGAGTACAGGGCACTCACTGAGGCAGTTTGTGGGCTGTATTTACCGACATGTAAATGTGCAGAACCATAGTTACAAGTGCCATAGACAGATGTTCAGAAAACATAGAGAAATGCAAACAAAGGCAAAAATCACATACCTTAGCAAACCTGATAGTTCCGAATTCTGGCGACAATTAGTTTCGGAGCAACATTGGCGTGAAAGGAAGTTCCTCAGGCTACCACCAACTGGAAGTCCTTTTTAAGTCCCACACAGGCTCCAGTTCAGCTTTCTGTATGTCCCCGAGGATGTTGCAGTATCCTCCAGTTCTTTGGAGCCGGAGCAGAAAAGATGTCATTCAGAAAGAAAAGAGAAGAAGGTGTGGCGTTAAATTCTAGGGTCAGTCGTTTGGCAGGTTCAGAATAGAACGTAAGAGAACATCTGATAGCAATGATATGTCAAGCCAGGGCAAAGAGCCTGCGACAATCCATCACGTTTGGCACCTTTTCAGGGAAATCTTTGAATTCAAGAACGGTGGCGCAGAACTATTCTTGCTTTATGGTGTTTTAAATGTGTCCCTAAGCCAGGAAATGATGCACTTTATTTCAGTCTAAGCTCACAGAAGTACAGTAACACTCCTGCATAACTTTAGAGAACATTCTTATTCATTACAGTCTTTCATTGGGAGAGCAGAACGTTCAAATTAAGGGGATTTAAAGTTAAAAACACGGACAAAAGCAAACAACACTTTGATGCACTTGTACAGTGCAGTTCGTTCACAAATCTCAAAGCTCATAAGGAAACATTAATTAATTAGGCCTTATGGCATCTCTGTGAATTAGTTACTGTTGGCCAAAATGTTCAAACACGGGTTCCCGACTTAGGCACCTGAAGTCATCTGATTGTTGAAAAAACTCAGCGCCCAGCAGCACCCACTCACACAGCTGTGAGTTTTCAACGCTTCTGAAACATCGGGTCACTTTGATTTTGGTGCCTAACCACAGGCAGCGGGGTTTGAGAAATTCGGCCTGAGCAATTTATTGGAAATCACACCTCAAGCGGGGGGAAGGACTTGGAAAAAGAGTCAGGAATTCTAATCCCCATTATTATTATTAGTTATTTGTATTAGAACGGCAGTTAAAGGCCCACACCGAAATCAGAGCTCCACTGTGCTACCAACGCTGTACATACACACCGTAAGAGACAGGACTCGCCCTAACGAATTACTATCTAAATAGATAAGACATATAAGGCATAGGAGACCACAAAGCAAGGGAGTGGCAGAGCTGGTGACAGAACCTAGGTTTTCTAAATCCCAGTCTGGTGCTTTTTCTGATGGCCCTTGCGGCCTCTGCCCCGGTTTGAATTTCTGGGTACCCTCGCCTCAACGGCTGCAATGCTCAAAGTGGAAAACGGAGACAGAAAACGCCTGATACAAATACGTCCTGAAGCCCCGTGTAGGCTGGTGGACTGGTCATCAGCGTGGGACAGACAATCAGCCACACCCAGGTCAGTTTGTCGCCCTCACCTTAGGGTCCTGTTTGTTCTTCAAAACAATAAATAAAAGGGACCATGGAACAACAACATCAAGTAACCGTCCTGTTCCCCACTGAGACTGGGGGGTGCTCTGGCCTCTGGCAGCTTAATGGTCAGAACTTTCCCCCCATCCAACGACTGGTCTGCAGGGCTCGTCTGCCCTCTTGCAGCCTTCTGTCCCCCCACAGCCTTCTCCTCTAGGCTCATCATGGAGCTGGGCCCTTCCGTTATATCCCCTGGCTGGGAATCCTCAGCCCCAGTTACTCGATGCACCCAACTGCTGGGCTCTTCTCCAGAATGGGGCTAGCTGCTCCCCAGCCCCCCTGGCCCGTAAAAGGGGGCAGGCCACCCGGTTGCACCCTACTTCTGAGATAACACAGCCTGTGTCACATCTGTAACGTAGTCTGAACATGGCTGCAAGAAAGATGGACAGGTGCTAGTTTTATGCCAGGAATAGTAAGAAAAAGAGGAGAAGACAAAAACAACAAAAACATACTACGGGCAGACAGTTCCAAAAGGGGTCAAGTCTGAATCAGCAGACCCCGAGCACAGGACCCATTACATCCTCCCACAGATTCCCCCAACACACACACACACCCCACTGGGCTAAAGAGATGTAGAAAACTGACTCAGGCAACCTGCAATAGAAAAGCAAACCCAGGTGTGGGGTGAAGCGAGGGGGTAGGGGAGTGAAGGGATGAAAGCATCCGCACCGCAGCTTGGAGTGAGAGGGCAGTGAGAGGAAGTCCACTTGGTAACCAGAGCCACTGCGGAACCCATGCCCATGGACATGCAATCTGCTCTGCACCCCGAGTAACCCCTTCTTCTTCTTCAGCAGGGCTGCTCGTGGTGCGAGCTGCAACGTGAGCTAGAGTGGATGAGTCCGACAGCAGTCTGTGCGTCGAGAAGGGCTTTAGTGGGAAATATTATTTTTATTTGCCAAACTGCTTCCCTTCCGTCATCCCGCGGGCTCAGGTGGGGAGGCAGAATGTAGAACAGCTTCAAATCTTATATTCCTTGCCAACGCAGGCAGAAAGCCCTACCTCTCAAACAGCATTTGTAGAACCAGTCTGGCAATGTGAGACTGAAGTGGGTGTGACATGGGGGTGTAGGAATGGCTGACGTTGCAGGAGCTTGGTCTGGGAATAGTAGCGAGACCTCGTTTCTCTGCTTTTAGGGGATGTTTATCTTTGGGGACCAGAAATGCACAAATTTTCTCCTGAAAGTTGCAATGCAAAAAAAAAGGAAAGTTAAAGAGACTATTTCCCCTCTTTTTACTTTCAATGGAGCTGAAAGGCAAAAGACCAAACTTGACAACAGGACTAGACTGTCATTGCAAGCTGACTCTGAGAGCCCTGCCTCTGGTGGGGAATGATATGTTTTTTGAAAGTCTCTGTTTAGTGCAGCCTGCCAATGCTCACCCTAAGCAAAGCTTCTGGGTGAGGAGGACTTGGCACACTGCCTTAATGCACTGCTATGCATTCACTCAGAGTTTCTGTAGTGTCTGAATTCCTGCACTGCTGGGTGTATCATAAATTACGGTGCAGGCAGGAGTGTGCTTTCAGCTCTTGGCAAAGAGAAGAAACCTTCACGTGTCCTAACCACTGCCGTTACGGGAATAAGAGAACAGCAGCAGGGAGCTGGAAAACACTGCTGCAGATTTCATCCAAGCATTCACCCGAGCCCACTGTTGGGAGGATATCTCACATTTTCTCTCCTCAGGTGTTACTGCACTTCAGCCCTGGGAGGTGGGGACACAATGGGAAAAATAACTTCAGCCAAATTAAAAAGTAATGACTGCGTACAACTGCCATCCCTCCAGCTCCCATTTCAAGTGCCTGTGATGGTGGAACATCCACATGGAGTATAATTAAATGCAAACTGTTATAAGTGTTGCTGCAAGCAGCACATCCAGTGCACCAATCCAAATACAACATACCTGGGTTGCATTTGAAGAATTTCTATCACACAGATATACATGGATGCAGGCAAGGAAATCGTTTCTGTCCAACAATATAGTTGGGGTTATGTTTCTATGTTATGGGTTACTGGGAAATAATGCACGAGCTATAACTTTTAGTGGTCACTGAGTATGCCTAAATTAATGAGGTATGATGTAGTACCCTCATGATAGCTACCATGACATGCAGAAATCTCACTCCACCTTGTCCAACATGAAAAAATAACATGCATCACCCAAATGTACTGTGCTATTCACCATTTTCTGCCCCACCAGTCCACACTTTTGTATTCAGTGTCTGAAACCCTGGATTACATTTTATGCAAGGGCCCTAAGTGAAATGAATCTGATGGCCTTTGCTCGGTCACCAGGCCATGAACACAAAAAACAAACTAGCACATACATGTTCTTCTCCGCTCAGAAGAGGCAGAATAGTTCACTACGGGAGCTTGCACACTGATTAACTAGAGTCAAGCCTGAATTTCCACAAAGTTTAGCAGTATCCAGATCTGGGATTTAGTCCAGGAGCATTTTTATGAGTAACTTGTTCAGTGCACATTCAACCAGAGTGAATGCTTACTGCTCAGGGATTACATGTCTCCGTTGCATGAATCATGGACTCATAGCCCTTCTTAAAGAGAAGGAGATTATACAAAACAACTAAAACATCCACACAGCATCCACACAGCTCAAGAACCATCTTGGTTCCACCCCTTCCCTTGGCTACCAGTCACCGCACCTTGTCTGGAACGTTCTATAGTATGCAAAGTCACATCTGTCCCAGTTGGTCTCGTCTCTTAAAATATTAATTACAATCTACTCAACTGCAGTTGAAGAAATTATATAGAGCGTGGAAAAGATTAAATACTTAGGGGGGATCTGGAGACTTGAAAAGAACTGGAACCGTATGTCCTCCAGCTAAATATTCCAGATCTTTCTCTTTACTGCCAGTCTGGACTTGAAGCACTTATACGGGAGAGGGATGGCACACACAACTATGCATCTGTACATTCTCATAATTTTCCTCTTTAACCATAGCTGGACTTGGGCAAGCACCTATGGCTGATATGACAGAGCAGTATTGGTGGGGCGGGGGCAACAGGGGTGCAGAACAGGTAGAGGTTCCATTCTCATCATGAAACATTTAGTAGGGTCATTTCTGCCCGTCTAGGTGGAAACTGAAGATCGCAAAGCACTTTCTGGAAGTCGATCGAGATTACATCAGCAAATACTCCTTCTAACTGAAACAGGGTCTAACGATCAAGGCTGTGTGTAAGATACAGCTGAATGCGTAATGGTTGTTACATTTTCCCAGGCAGCCAGTACCTAGCTCATTGTTTTGTAAAGTGCTCTGGGATTTCTTGACACTTGATCAAGTACCTTAAACCACCCAACGACCTTAACAGAAGTGGAGGGTACCCAGCACCTCACAGGAGTACTCGGGACCCTGCAGGGTCAAATATTAAATGAGCCCGAATTTTACATTTCACAATATCTTCTCCCTCTACTTCCCTTGAATTTAGTAAAAAGGTGGCGCTGGTAAAGAAGGGGGGGGGGAATTAAACTTCTGAATCCCTCCTTCCAGAAGGCTAATGTTAAAAACTTGGAACCTCTCCAACTACAACACTTAGTACACCACAGACAACGGTTTCCCAGCCAGACTTTGTCATTTATAATGGCTTGGTGCAAAACATAAATAAAACAAGAGTCTCCAGCAAAACCGAGACTTGGCTGTTTTGTGGTGTTTTCTCTTCCTCTGCCGCAGAAAAATAGGTGGAACAGCAGCACTGCAATCCAAGGGCTGTGCAGATAATTGAAGTCTCCTTACAATGG